AAAGTGCCGTAAAATTAAACTCACTCACAAATTACTGACCGAGCATGTTTCTGTTTTTGCCCAATTGCTTAAAAAACATGCTCACTCACTCACTCATCTAACATTCCATGGGGCAGAACTCCGTATGTCACCATAGGGTGTCTGGGTGTTATACCCTTCTGCCCAGTCACTCTCAGTCTGACCACTCTTCATGGTCTGGGGATGATGTAGCCGAGATAATGTCAACAAGTCCGGTGTGCTGTTCAAATCCTTTTATTTTGGAATAGTTATGGCACAATGGTCCTCAGATATTACTTGATCTATACACCACCACAGATTCACTGAATTCCTGAAGGGCGACCTGGAAGGCCCCAGCCGACATCTAAAACGACGATTCTCTTATTCAACTGTTAACTTTTTTTACTTCATCTGGACTATTCTCTCAATATACAGAGAAAACTTCTTCAGTCAACGGTGGGTTAGTTGTCCGCACCAGTCACCGGACTGATAGTAGTATCAGTACTGATGACAATTTGGCACCTCCTCCCCTGAAATAATGTCCTACGTCATGCTAAAATGAGTCATACCCCAACTAACAGGAAAATCAATTATGACATTGACAAGAATTAATCGGTACCATAAAATTCTTCCAGGTATGAAATTGCTTAATTAATTAGCTTAAGTCAACTATCAACCGTTCACAACTAAACCGTACTCCAGACAGGTAGGCGCCAGATGATACCTCTTGAACTCATTCAAACCCATCTTGGTGTCCTTTTTCCAATTTCTGGCATCCTAACTGACCATTAGTTTCCTAAAGGGTATATTTGATCACCCGATCCAATCTATCCACTCATTTCCCTTATCATATTTGTTATTTGCAAGAGAAATGAGTTGATATGAATTTCTTTACACCGATCAATGCACTTTCCAAGTACATTGACCCCTCTGAACTTGACTTCAGATTTTCCTAAAATCTTTATCAAATCTATATTAATTTTTTTGTAATAAATATCCTGGTTATACATGCCCCTCCTGTTGTAGAGCATGTCGTCACTTGCGACTGACCAATGACTTAAGCTCAAGCCTATACATAAGTATGTCAAGTCTATAACGATTATTCAAATAGGTATAAACATCAATAATACAACATCAATGAGATGATAATTGAGAACATTTGTATCAACATCAATGAGAGAGTGATAATTGAGAACATTTTCAGAATCGTGGGACCAGAAAACAAAACAAGATTTGAAATACAGGAAAATGTCTCAAATGGATCTGTCTCGGGTTTACCCAATCTGAGAAGTGAAACAGACATGTTTTAGAGAATAACCTGACTGAAAATACTGATTAAAATTAGCAGATGCAGATATAATTTAGTTGTTGGCGATCTATAGCCCATTTTTATACTGTGTTGTCCTAATTTGAAATCCAGTTTCAGAGAGAGTTTTATTCCTTGATACTGTGATATTCTGGTTGATTTTACTGTCCTTCGTCGGCAGGTTTTTATAATTTATATGTATTTATGGTGAATTCACAACTTGTTTATAGTCACGATATGGCTGAAATATTGCCGATGTGACTTAAAATCTTAACCCACTCACTCACTATAACGATTATACAAATAGGTATAAACATCAATAATACAACGATACAACATCAATGAGAGATGATAAGTGAGAACATTTGTATCTGAAGACCAGAAAACACAATATTTGAAATACAGGTAAATGTCTCAAATGGATCTGTCTCGGGTTTACCCAATCTGAGAAGTGAAATAGACATGTTATAGAGAATAACCTGATTGAAAATACTGATTGAAATTAGTAGATGCAGATATAATTGAGTAAAACTTAAATCAAATATCGGAAGCATATAATGGATACTTGAACATTTTCTTTTTTTCTTAACAAATCACGACAGTTTTACAACATCATCTTATACATCCAAATTATGAATGCACAAAGCATGCAACATCTGAAGACAATATGGAATCAATTATATATACATAAGGACACTAGTATATCATATTTTAAGAAAAAATAAAGTGAGTGTAATCCGTCATTCTACCATGACTAAGTGAAATACTCAAATTTGATTGGACAATCAGTTTGGACTGTAAATGCGTCTGATTTTATGACCGCTTCAGTATACAACACTGCCGCACTACTTCCTTTTGACCCCCAACATGGCTGATATCTGAACTGAAGTGAACTATATTTACAGTCGTGAATGAAATAGTAATAATAAAACATTTATCAAAACTCGAAGAATGCAATAAAATCGATTTTTCCTCCACATTTATTTGCGAACCTTGCTATCATTTTAGTTTTTATCAAAAGCATATTCAAACTCAATTTCAATGTAAAGACCCAACCATAAACAAACATTCTAGCACGACATTGTGTGATACTCGATTCTGATTGGCTGAGAGCTCATCAGCCAATCAGAATCGAGTATCACACAATGTCGTGCTACTTGTTACAAATACAAGCATACTGCTTCCTGAAATAAAGCATTTATGTTCTTGAAAATGTCTTATTTTGTTCATTACACAACCTGTCCCTGAACGGGACGATTCCAAGCGATTTCCAGGAAAAACGCCCCTTTGCGCCTTATGTTGTTGCGCGCCAAACAGTTGGGTTTTAAAACGCTTATCAGTCGTGCTACAATGAAGATAAAGCTGCTTTGTTTTTAATTTTGCGGTCCTTTATCGTTGATTTAAGACCGCTAAATGTTCAATTTAAAACCTCACGCTAACGCGTTCGGTTTTAATAACGCGTGAGGTTTTAAGTTAAACATTTAGCGGTCTTAAATCAACGATAAAGGACCGCAAATTGAAAACAGAGCAGCTTTATCTTCAAATTTAAACCATCCATCCATCCTTCCATTCTTCCTTGTTTCCATTCTTCCTTGTTTCCATCTCTCACTCCTTCCCTTCATCTCTAATTTAAGCCATCCATCCATTCTATTCTTCCTTGTTTCTATCTCTCACTCCTTCCCATCATCTCTAATTTAAGCTATCCATCCATCCTTCCATTCTTCTGTCTCCATCTCTCACTCCACCCCACAACCCCATCAAGTCTCGCACTCAATCCATCCATCTATTCAATGGCTCCATACCTCTCTCACTCACCGCCCCACACAACCCCATCCTTTAATCATTCTCACCTCAAACCATCCATCATTCCTTCCATCCCTCTCTCTCATTCTATCCCCCACCCCTTTCCTCCATCATCTATCTCTCCCTCAAATTGTTTCAGTGTTAAGCCGGCATGGAAAATACATTTTCTGGACCAAATGAAATGTCTGAAGATACACATGTTGAGATGACGTTACTCTCCTCCACAAGTGTATACCTAAAAAAAACTCCAAGGATGATATATCTTAAAATATCTATTTTTGCAACATAACATGGCCAATGAGTTTTGAAATTATATATTTATTGCTTAAAAGGGGCCAACAAGCCAAACAATATCCTTTCTTTTCTGATTTGCAAATATAAAGTAAAATGTAGCAAAAATTTCACAATGAGAATATGAATTATAGTATGCTTACTACTTACTAGCTCTACTACCAAACATACTTGCACTACAAATTTCAGACATAAACAGATAAATCAATTTTAATTAAATAAGGAAAATGATAATGTTATGGCGTGGACATTGGCATTAATTGTTATGGTAGTGACACAATAACGGTAGTGACATTTTTATTAATAGCCAGTTTTGTATGTTTACTTTAAAAGATAATTTAGTGAAATTTGTCAGTCAGATATTTCAGAATGTTTGAAGAATATGTAATAGGCAAAAAATTTACTTGTAGATGTCCCTGTCATGTTAAAAACAGGTATAGACTGCATGCTACGGCAGTGACGTTCTGGCGATATATAATGTCACTACCGTAACGGCCCTATCACAGCCGTGTTCTTCTTTGTCACAGCCGTTACACCATCCTGTCCTAACCGTAACAACACAATCATACTTATGTGCTTATTGATTATATTTATTTGATACGAAAGTTTTATGTTAAATAAGATTCCAAAACATTTGGTATCTTTGAATTGAAAATTTAGATACAAACAACATTAAACTAGAAAAATGTCACTCCCGTCACAAAATCTGTCCTTACCGTAACAAAACCCATGATAACGGTAGTGACAGCCACTAACAATATCAGTTTTCAAACAATAACTGGCCCCCAAAGTTTACTGAGCACATGGTTTCAAATGATTTCCCCTCCTGTCTAAGGTACAAACTTCACTGGTTTCAATGGTAACCACCGTAACGGTTAGGACATGCAAAATTCTCAGATATCATTTTATACACACATTGTTTGTGATGAAATCCAGAAAAAAATGATTTTTTTGTGTCAGTCTTTGACAGCCATGTTTCCTCACTGCCATTGCTTGCAAACATGAAGTAGAATTCGAAGACAGTACACGGTGGAATCGTTATTGTAATTTGGGGGTTGGGGTAGGGGTTACGGTTGTGACATCAAACCTTGCGACAAAGTTTGACCTCTTTCCTAGAAAATGATTTTCAATACAAAAAAGGCCAAACATGTAGCTGTTACATCATTTAAATGCTTTCTATTGACAAACAGGAAATAGACAACAACAAAAATCAAATTGCATATCGCCCACTGGAGTTGTGAAACACGAAAACTGAGTAACGTGTGTGTGTGTGTGTGTGTGTGTGTGTGTGTGTGTGTGTGTGTGTGTGTGTGTGTGTGTGTGTGTGTGTGTGTGTGTGTGTGTGTGTGTGTGTGTGTGTGTGTGTGTGTGTGTTTAGAATAAATACAAAAATATCTTTTCCCAATTTTGTTACTGTAAAGGGTAGACTAAACTGAGATACATTGGTTACCATAAAAAAAATGATTGATTTTGACTTAAGTTTGTCGGGTAGAAACATATAACATAATTATGCACGAATTTTGAAAAAGACTCATAAACATGAAAAAGAAGACATTTACTAGAACTAGCAAAGATACAAACATCTAGGAAATTGGTAACTGTAAGTTACCAACCAATCCCACAATTCTTCAGCATAGATCAACATTCGAAATTGAGCACATGTATGATGGAATCCTCTACATGCATTATTGAATCAGTATACCTCCATACAGGATGAGAGGGATGCCCCTATGCTATGAAATGTTCCCAAATACATTTGAATCAACACCACATTCTGGGTTATATTGGTCCCAAGTAGCTCTTTTAGAGCTTTAAGAGTAGCAAACCTTGTGGCCCTTCGTCCCCTGTTTGCTCTTCATGAGGACCTTGTGGCCCTTCGTCCTCTGTTTTTTCAGGGCTCATTCCTTCTTGGCCTTTAGTTTTCTGCTTGGATTCATCCTCTGATGGCGATGCTTTCTTTCTTCGTTGGTGGCAATGTTTGTTCAGAACCTTGTGGCCCTTCGTCCCCTGTTTGTTCTTCACGAGGACCGAGTGGTCCTTCGTCCCTCTTTCCGCTTCAGGAAGACCTTGTGGCCCTTCGTCCGCTGTATGTTCTTCAGAAGGACCGTGTGGTCCTCTGTCCCCTCTTTCCGCTTCAGGAGAACCTTGTGGCCCTTCGTCCCCTGTTTGTTCATCACGAAGACCTTGTGGCCCTTCGTCCTCTGTTTTTCAGGGCTCATTCCTTCTTGGCCTTTAGTTTTCTGTTTGGATTCATCCTCTGATGGCGATGCTTTCTTCTTCGTTGGTGGCAATGTTTGTTCAGAACCTTGTGGCCCTTCGTCCCCTGTTTGTTCTTCACGAGGACCTTGTGGCCCTTCGTCCTCTGGGTTTTTTTCAGGGCTCATTCCTTCTTGGCCTTTAGTTTTCTGTTTGGATTCATCCTCTGATGGCGATGCTTTCTTCTTCGTTGGTGGCAATGTTTGTTCAGAACCTTGTGGCCCTTCGTCCCCTGTTTGCTCGTCCCCTGTTTGATTTTTTTAGGAGTAAATATATTTTCAGATGCAAATGGTCAAATGCTGAATTTCTTTTCATGGTTTCAACTTCTGAAATGCTAAATATTTGCACTATATCAGAGCTCACGATGAACATATCTATAGACGAGTCATCTGGCGTGTGTAGCATCAGACTGCCATTCGAAGGGAGTCTTCTCTTCACAGCAGATGCTGACATGTTGAAGTCACCCCCAAGCAAGAGTGGAATATTCTTCTCTTTCTCTTCCACTTTCAGTTTCAGTTTCAGAAGAAACTTGACCAACGTATCAAGGGCCTTTTGCTTTTGCTCCGTAGACACCTTATGAGGACCATGCCAACTGGCACAGAGGATCTCAAAATTAGGAGCTCCTTTGCTCTGTATTTTATAGACGCAAAGTCTTGGCAGCTCAAAGTAGTCCGAGGCCATGTCACTGCTCTCCACCATGTTGTCATACATGTTTCGCACTGATGTTTTGTTGTCAATCCTCGAGTATGTGATTTCCCTTATATCAAATATGAAACCTGCTTCTTTGTGGCCTTCATACTGAAAATGGTCGGGAACATCAATGTCTTTAAATGCGCTCGAATGAATACCCGTCCAGACAAATTCTTGCAGGCAAACCACCAGGGGTCTGTTTAACATTAACAGATCTAAAATGTGATGCTTTCTTTTCTCTCTCATCCCTGCTTTGGAGTCCCCATTAGCATTCATATCAAGTATCACATACTCAGCGGGGGCTGTCGCCATGGCTTGAATGTGCGCAGACTGATAGGATCACTTGACAGTCACTGAAACAGAAATTGTGTCAACATTACCGATTATTTTTTCAAGTCAAGACACCTCTCTGAAAAAATAACTTTGAAGATCATTGCTTCTATCAGCCACTATACAAGCATGAAATGTATGTCAGGTACGAATTCTTGGGGTGTGATCTGAAAACCTCTAGTGCTCTACAATTAAGGTGATCCACAGCACTTTTCAGTAAGACATTGTTTTAGGCAAGAGGTAGTTCTGTTATTTCAATACTTTTGTTTGCTGTTTAACACCGCTGGCACACTTCACTATATTACAGCTATATGATATCAATCTGTAAATTACATTGTCAGGCGTTAAACAACAAAAGAACAACAAATCATATATGGTTAGAATTGGTGCCTAGTAACATATGAAGGTCAGGCAAGGGTAGAATTGGAGCCTAGTAACCAATGGTGGTCACACAAGGGTAGAATTGGAGCCTAGTACTATGGTGGTCACACAAGGGTAGAATTGGAGCGTAATAACCTATGGTGGTCACACAAGGGCAGAATTGGTGCTTAGTAACATATGGTGGTCACACAAGGGTAGAGTTGGTGTCTAGTAACCTATGAAGGTCACACAAGGTAGAATTGGAGCCTAGTACTATGGTGGTCACACAAGGTTAGAATTGGAGCCTAGTAACCTATGGTGGTCACACGGTTGTTCATACCTTTCTTATACTCCTTAGCTGCGTGGCGGTAATATATATGATTTGCCTGGTTCCTATGTCTTCTTTCTAGCTTTATGGTAGTGTCTACGTTTCAGAGTACATTCTTTTCTAAACCAAGGTTTGTTAACTTTATTGTTCTTATCATTACCAGTATTATTATATGGACGAGATGGACGCATGTCAAACGTATTTCTAGCTGCATTTGTAAGAACAGTTGCTTTGTTTAACAATTCATTTGCTTTCGTATTGTCAACAACCACTTCTTTTTGATAATGTGCTTACATCGTGTATTTGCATAACATCAATATTGCTCCTGTTTTGGTCCTTTTTTGAAGAGTCGTATATATTCGGCTTTGTCAATGTAATTACAGGTTTACCAGTAAATGGTTTAGGTGCCTTAGCAAAAATCTGCTTTTCGTGCTTGATAACGAAAATACTATTGGGCAGTGCACATCTGGGTATAGAGGAGAAACATCAACAATTACAAATCTCTCAATATATAACAGACATCTATTAGAACATATGACATAGTCAACAGTGTTTGTGTCCTACCAAGTAACTTTTCCTAATTTTGCATCTTTGTCCATTCTACCATGACAAATAAACATATCAAAATGTTTGCAGATAACAATCTGTTTATGTCCTTAATTAGTTATTTTGTTACCGTCGTGCGAGCTCTTCTAAAACAATTTCAAGGTGAAAATCATGTGACATTTCATCAGTGTCAATATCCAATTCTTCTAACAAATGTTTATCTAGACTTATAGAATCACACAGTTTTCCAGTACATGTATAACAATGCTTGTTTTAACTGATCAAACATGTCTGTAGTGGTGCACTTGGATCCTTCAGAGCACCAACCATAAAGTCATCTTTGCTGTAAAAAGCTAACTTTCATATCTTAAAACATAGAATGTATTCTGATTCACAATTAATAAAAAGACATATTTAGAGAAACAATCTTTAACTGCTAGAACAATACCTCCTGAGCTTTTGTCACCCAGGGCCCTGTGTTTCAAAACCAGTTTGTAGCCATCAATTTCAATATCATCGAGTACATCTGTTTTAGTTTCTTGAAGAGCATCAAAGTTTACTACGCCAGGATTGAATAAATTGGTCTTTAAGTATTCTTTCGATTGTAGAAGACATTGGCCATAGTACATTTGGGCGTTGCTTAATACCTATAATATCTATAATAAACATTAGCCAAGTGTTTTGAGATAGGTTTCTGTCATAAATTAGTTTCACATAGTTATAGGTCATTTTAGACAGCTTAATTGGGTAGTCGTTACATTGTAGTTTATGCCAGTAGCTTATCATTTTCTTGAATATCGTTATCCTAAGGGTGAATCGTCCAAGTTCTCCATATATCATAAACTTCGGTTTTGATGTTCGTATTGGTGTTATTATTGTTGTTGTTATTGATGTTATGGTAATGTTTCTATTGCCCAATTGTAAGTCTGTCTGTTCAAATACAGAGTGACATTACTTTGTAAACTCCGAAACGTGACTAATAACTAAATAGTAAGTGATGGTGTCAATTTTGTATTTAGAAATGAAATGTTCGTTACATCGTTAATTCCTTTTTCAGATAACTCTCAATTTTAAGTCTTTGGTGATTGTTTGACTTCCCCGATGGGATAGGAGTCACGTGATATTTGAAAAATAGTATTATATCACAACCTATGTAGTTTCGAATACCCTGGTAACGAACATTTCAGTAACGGAGGTTACATACTCTGGCAAATCAAGCAGTAAGTTATCTTTAACCACACACAAGCTTTGAATATATTTTTCTTTTCGCATCTGGCCATCATAAGGGGTAAATACTTCCTGTTCTAAATGTAACTTAAACCATGTGAAAAAGAGCACAATTCCCTAAGTTGGCGGTGGTAACGGACATTTCACGCTTATTTCTACGCATTGATTATTTTCTATGTATTGAGATATGTTATGCAGAGATATATTCTAAGCCCAAAATAATGACAAGTACCAGTAATGTAAAGACAAATTGTATTCATTCAAAGTGGATGGGTAAGATTATGCTTTGTTCTACACATGTACATGTCAAGCTGAAAATTAGTCACGGACATTTCCTCAAAACTGGCGACATGGCATTAGACGAAAATCATTTATCTAAAAAGAATGCATTGGCCTAACAATTTGCAGAAAACGAAACAATATGAATGTACTAATATCCAGGTATTTGTATACCAAACTGCGTTAAACTGCGATGTAAGGTTTTGCTACCGGCGACAATAACGAACATTTCTAATTGACCTATTACCTGAGCTGTAACAAATATACTTTGGGGCTATTGGACTGTTTATGCATGATGTATGTTGAGCAGGTTGGTACCATTATCCAACCATACTGATAATAACATTTGCTAATTAAAGAGAAGCACGACGGTGACAGCATTTGTACCCCGTTTTTGACAATGAGTTTTAGTGTACCAGCTGATTGTGGTAACCTGAAGTGATCCCTGTTCCTCATGTCATACAGGTTAAGGCCTAGCAGTAACAGTGTTGGTTTGTTGGCATCTGCGATAACTTTACCACTAAAGTAATATACTTAATGTTTTACTCACGTTTAAAGTATTTGGACCCAAATTCCCCTTCTGTCTGTGCTGGGCCGGTTAAAGTGCGACTTCAATGGGGGCGTTACTCCTGAGTCTTGGTCATGTGATACAGGTCAAGGCCTAGCAGTACACTGCTATGTTGGGGTTTTTGCATCTGCTCTATCATTCGTCACCACTCGCCCCTTTCCGTAACTTCCAAGAAGATTCGGCTTGTCCCGGAATAACACGAGTTGGTCACGACTGCTGCGATACTTTTTCCAACTAAAGGTGGGAGATCTGTGTTTGCAAAAGAAATACTCTTCATTGCACTTTCGCAAACGCAGTAACTGAATACCTGTGCCTTATTAAAAACACGAATTTGCCTTCCAGGTATAATCAGTTGGTATCGACTGTCATTATATCATACGAGTTGTTGGCAGCGACACAAGACATTTGACAGTCTCTTGTGGGAACATGCTGTTATAAGATAAATGGTGTTTTTGCATTTTATCTTCTTGGGGACGCTCATGTAAATAAATATGTACAAGATCATGTGGAGGGTCATCCAAAATATGACAAGTGATATAGAGGGTCATTAACACCCCATCCCAACTCCACACTTTCATAAATGATGGTTCTTTATAATAAGAGTTTAAAGAGGCATGTTAAGTGTGTGGATCACTTTTAGTCACCCCAATACCGTGACGTAAACAAATGTTTATACCATTGGAGTAAATATTTCATCTGTCAATAACATAGCTACAAAATAGAAAACTTTTTGATTTCAACATATTTTATTTCAAGTCGTAACCCGCAGGTGTTGGTGATAAATCAACATCGAAACAGCGGGGAGGATTTAACGCAGCAATATTCCAGCTATATGGCGGCGGTCTGTAAATAAACAGCAGTTGGGAACCGATGACATGTGTCTACCAAGTCAGCGAATCTGACCACCCAATCCCGTTAGTCGCCACTTACCGCAAGCATGGGTTACTAAAGATCAGTTCTAACCCGAGTCTTCGCGGGGTGCTGGTTTAGGAGTGTCACAATTCGTCTGAAACGTAGTAACGTCTCATTATCCAGGAAGCACACCTCTAGCCTCATAGCTGACATATTACTTGTCGACTGTATATTAATGTGTAAAAGAAAAATACTCAGCAAATATGCATATGAAGAACGTACAAATGTAAAGCCTATGCAAACATGACAGTTTTATATAAATATACAGTATTGCCAACTATGCGAATACTCTTAAGGCTGTTATTAAGAGTTATAGAGACAAAATTTACGGCCATAAAGATATTGGTTTAGTGTATATTCCCATGTCAGTACTTATAGTATACTTGGAGGTACGAAATCAAAGGTCAAAGGACGCATGTGGATAACGTTATACTTATTGAGCAATGGTATGACACAAGTGGGTGTGACTGAAACGTGACACGACTATAGACAAGGTCCCGTGATCAGTTCGTGACGTTGTAAGACGAAGAATTGTAGCGTGACAAGTAGGGCTGGGACGAATACTCGGGTACTCGAATCCGGTCGGGTACAGCTGGAATCGAGTCCTTTTTCAAGGAATCGAGTACCCGGAAAGGGAAAGGGAGAGAACTCAGTAACTAACCTAGAGCAATATGGACGACACGCATGCTAAGTTGAGTGTTTGGGCTCATTTTGAGCTTGATGCAAATGGCAAGAGAACCAAATGCCGACTCTGTGGTATCATGTCTGATATTGATAGTGCAGTCTGCTTATGGTTTTGAGAT